GTGCGGCTGAGCAGCGCGCAACAAATTTGAGCATAGAGCAGAGTACGACAATGCAGGAGCTGCGAAGCCTGCAGTTGACCAGACGGCAGCTGGAGGATATGCGTTTGAAGTGTGAGCAAAATCAGAGCACAATAAAGGTACGCCCAATGCTGATAAACACCATTTTGTATGCACACAATTTTATACTCTTCTCAATTAGGCACTCGAGCAGGCTCTAGAAATGGAGCGTAAAAAATTTGAGGCCTCTGACTTGGGCAAGGCGACGACGTACACATGCCAATCAGCAGCTCTAGCGCAGCAGCGAGACGAACCGGCGCACGAAGTAGCCAATCTAATGGATGATTATAAAAAGGTTCCAAATCCATTTTAATTTTGATTTACAAAATGTTAATGATAAAACCTAATTTTCTTTTGCAGTTAATCCAACAATCGGCGTTGGCGACACAACGCCCGAAAACCAGCACCATCCTTGACCTTATACAACGTAGCAATCAGTGTGTGCCAAATTTAAATAAACTCGAAGCTAGCGTTTACGGCCTGCGCAGTGATTTGGAGCACTTCCTTAGTGCGCACGCCACATTAAATATGTCGCAAATACAGAGCGGAAACAAACTGGAGGGACCATCACTAATGGACGAGCTGCGCGCTGCGGCAGAAAGCTACTAAATTTGTAGTAAACTACTTCCAACTTCCTCTTGCTGTGCATAAAATGCAAACAAACATTGCCAAAATTGAGTTCAACTATTCTATGTATACTTGTTTTATAGTATTTTTACATCGGCTGTTTTTAGATTTTTGTTCTATACATTTATTTATGATAATTTTGCACAAAGTACATCCTTTTAAATGTTAAAAGTGCTAATTTTTTAAAGCTTTCACTTACTTTAAGCTCTTCGAATAGTCAGCGGGTGGTGAGGCATTATAAGCGGCACTTGACTATTGGTTTTTGTTTTAATCCGAAGCCAGTTAGGCCATAGACAAGACCTTTGGCTGAGTATATAGATGCATATGTATGTATGTATATGTATTTTTTATTTAAATTATAATGTGAATGCTCTTTTTGTCATAGATATCCAACATGTTTATAAAAATTAAAATTTCATGTAACAAAATAAATAATAATAATAATAGTTTAGCGTTAACACTTATGCTAAGTGCATGGCCGCGCTTCTACTCATATTTGTGGTGTGCGTCTTGACGTTGTTACATAAATGCAGGGAGTTTTGCGTCGCTTCCGAGCGGCAAATGGATTTTAAGAAGATTTTCATGAAAGAAACACACTCGCAGGTTATTCATTACTTGCCGGGGGGCGACCACTGTTAGAAAGAACTTTTTATAATTTAGATCTTGCTCGGACCAGGAATCGAACCCGGGTCCTGCAAAGTTGTAGTAGACACCTCTATTATTACTGGCCTCGTATTATTACCGTTCTTTCTGGCTGGGTTAAGGACCCATGTAAAAATTAATTCCATTGAAAAATGTTTTAACAGTCCCAAACTTAAGCCCTGCTGGTTAATTTCCTCAGGAAGCCTAAGGTTGACTAGAGAACAGCCAGGTGTACCTTTGCGACGTCTACTGCAGCTGCAATAAAATGGAGCGCATGACCGTTTCTAGGAAGTTTTAAAGCTCGTTATCCCTGCGACAACTTAAAATCGTGCTAGGCGACTTCAATGGCATGGTGAACAAGGAAGCGATCCTTGGTCCTAGCGTTGCAAAATTTAGCATACCCGAAAAAATCTCGGCTAACGATCTAATGATTGACTTCGCCGGGGTCTGAAACAGGAAAGTGTGTAGCGACACATTGCTGCGTAAGAAATCCACCACCAGATCGAAAAACGAGAATCGATCAGGTTATGAGAGACGGAAGACACGTTTCTAGTGTTAGCTGTATGTACGATTCAAGGACCTAACATCGACCCGTATCAATCGTATTGGGTGAACGAGTAGAGTCGACCGTCAACTAACTGTTTTGGCCTTATGACTGTGACATTAGACCGATTTCGGAAAAGACTACCGAGATAAATGTCGTCATAAACCATCATTTTGTCGATGAATTTGGTATCCCCGCGAAACTAATACAGCTGTGTTA